TCTGCTGAGTTACAAAAGAGGACCTTCTTGGTGGTTGCTCTCTAATTCTGGAATTTCCTTCCCTTCTCTTTGTTGTTCTTTTGCCCAGAGGAAGAAATAGCTTTATTCTAACAAGCTGTTGGTTTTAAGATGTCTTAAAAAAAACAACAAGCAGCTTTTAAATAGGCGTAAGTATCTTTTTAAATTTATTTTCTTCAATGTTTCATTAACATGTTGTGTTTTATCATTACTGTATGGCTGTGAGCAATACAGAGTGCTACTTATCGGGAGAGTTAGGAAACAAATTCAGTAAGTACAGGATAAATTAAGAAACCTGCAACTGATGCAAAGGACCATAATCCTTGTCTGCCTGAAGGAGACAAGAACTTAAATTGTACTGTCCGGTGGCATGTCCCTAATCGATAAGCACAACAGTGTAACTGCTGCTTAGCAATTGTGTGCTCATGTGTCAAAAGCTGCCTTCCTTAGGAGAGACTCTTTAATTTGGGTGGGGAAGAGAAGAAAGCTATGTGTAGAAGGAAAAAAAAACTGAATAAAAGAAAGCCAAGACTCTGTCTCGAAATACTAAAATCTCTGTCAACAGTTCCAAGTGGATCTAGAACAAATGAGTCATTTTACTGTAGCAAATATATTTCTAAAATCAATCTGTTTGAAACAGCACATGAGCTCTTATCACAATCCCTATTAAAATATCTTTAAAAAAAAATACCATTCAGCTTGTCCAAACTTCGATTGATTGGTATAAAAGAAATGTAACACTGGGTATACCATAGGAAAACCACAAAGTGATCTCATTTCACTTTTTAATTTGTCAGTAAGAAAGATCACCTGTCTTAAAACAGAAATTAACAGATTAGCATCTCTTTTATAGCTGTGCATTTTTGAGGGATTTAAAAGTAGCCTTGTAAATGCATCAACATAGTAGCTGCCTGCAACTGATTAAAGCAGCTGCGTCTTTCCCCCAATTTGGCTAGCAGCTTCTGATCTCAGGGAAAAATGTGGCTATTTTAAAGGGGTACAGATAGATGCTCTCTTTTTGCTCTTGTGCTGCAAAGGAATTTCAGAATCAAATTCAAAGTGCATGGTTTTATAAATAAGTCATGCACATATGCATCGTGCATGCAATATCCTAAAGTCAATCTCTCATTTTTCTAGTTAAAAGAATCCCAATATTTGACCTGAAGAGAAAAATATCGGAAAAACTCTGAAAAACTATTAGCTAGATTAGACAGCATTTTGAGATACAAATTGTGTTATTGTTGTTTTGATTCAGTACAAGGATGCATACAGTATATTCATGTTGTTCAACATTGCTCCCCCCCGCCCCTTGGTCAAGTTTCCTAGACTCTTTGCTTCTGACAATGCTAGTTCTCATTTCACCATAACCTGATTGATTTTTGTTGAACATGACTGTTGTTCAGTTACAATGTACGTGGTAGATATAGCATTTTCCCCTCCTCCTTACAGCAGCCTGATACAACAGGTAACATTCGACCGTACAGATTGCAAGTCAAGGCCAATCAATGATCGTGGCTTATCAGACCTTTGAGTCAAAGTCTTCCAAAATATGAAGGCCCAATTTTCTGACCTGTTTTGTTCATCACATTATTTTTTTTTGCAAAACCTAATGAATGTTCCACCTTTAATTTTTCCCTACCCAACCAGAAGAACATACAAATGGGGAAAATATAACTTTGCCGCAATGTATCATTGTACAATGCAGGAGTTTCAAAACAAGGATATAAAATTTAATTTGTATTATTATCACACAGCTAAGAAACATATGTAAGAATCTTGACTTTCTGTCCACATCAGAATCTTCAAACTGCGTTGACCTGATATGCTTTCCTACTTCCTCATGCTTGAATGGACTAATAATAGCTTTGTGGCGTGACAGAGCTGAATGAATGTCATCCTCATCAATATGTCCTAGAGTCACTTTGGTATAGAAAGGTCATTGGCAGAAATAAGACTAATCTACATTCCTCAGAATTAGACTTTCAAAGAGTAATTGAATCTAAACGTGATCTTTTTTTGTATTGGGTACAGCAAAAATAACAAAGAAACCCCAAATGCATCAGAGATTCATTTAACTGGAAAGTAGGAATATGGGAAGAGACAGCCATAACTAAGTTTCCCAGGTTTCTTTGGCAAAAACATTCACCCAACTTTATCTGGGATGATGTTCTTTTTGTCATGTTTAGATCCTCTCTTTCCTCAGAATGCTCAAAGTGAGTCATCATTTTTTTAACCTTATCACCATGTGAGTTAGATTGAATGAGTAAGTTCCATAGTTGGCTAAAGAACTTTCTGATTCTCCTGGACCCAATTCATTTCCTCAAACATTCCTGTAAAACTGACAGGTGTCGTTTTCATTGATTGCCAGTCTGTCTGTCTGTCTGTTTCTGTCTGTGTCTGTCTGTCTGTCTATCTCATCCATCCATCCATCTAGATGATCTCTCTGCTTGTGTTTGTCTCTCTAATCTGTCTATCCATCTGTCTCTACCTACCTACCTATAATCTGTCTGCCTGTCTATCTATCTATCCATCCATCCATTTTATACAATCACCCATTTCACCAAACAAGCGACTCTGCCTGTTCACCTAAGTGCCTCTCTCTTAAATTCTTAATTAGTTTGCTCCATTTTAAGAACATGGGTTTGCTAGTAGTTTCCTTTCAGTGCATCCCATCAGTCATGTTAGCATTATGATTGGAGAAGAGCATTTCTTTTATATCCTAACAGGAAGCTGTTATTCATTAAAAAAAAAAAAAACACATGAGCACAAACACACTTTGCAGACCAAGCAGTAGGATTACTCAGGTTTCTGCCCTGCAAACATTTATGTTGATACCAGAATATAAATCAAATGTTTTCACGTCTATGGTGGTTTACAAGGCAAAGATTGCGACAGATGGAAGAATTTGCTATTTTTCTTAAAAAATAATGTTCTGTCATTTATTTTGATAGAAATTTGAAAGAATGTAAACAATCATCATACCAGCATCTTAACATAAACAGTTCATATCTTGGTCTAATTACATAGTGGAAAACTTTTATCTGAAAGGCTTTGCAATATATCAGTGGAAAGTTTCCCAGACTTTCCCTCTAAAAGTCATAATCTTATACGCAATTCCATTCACAAAAATCCCATTTCACTCAGTGAGACTTACTGGCTACTAATACTAACTATTTGATACTAACTGGAATGTTACTTTGAGTTCGACAGTAAGACATCCTAGGACAAAAAATATGCCACAAATTCATTGGCTGACCTTGGGGAAAATCACCTTTTTTTCCCCTTATCTAAGTCTGATTTCAAATGTAAGAAACCTCCAGCACTGTAAGAAACCTTCTGCTTTGTTTCTAGGACATACCAAACCAAAAGCTAATATGAGATCACTTTTTATTTTCAATATTCCGACTGTTCAGTAGAAAATACACATCCTACGGAATATAGAATTAAATACAGATATTTTAAAGATGTTTCCCCCAGAAAGAATGGATAGCAATGCAGCATTAAATACTTGAACCTTTTTGGATTATTCTAGTTTTTACAGTTTCTTCCGTGTTATTTAAATTTAGTGTATTTGTACTGCATGTTTACTAGGAGCCATCAAGATCACAAGACTCAACTCTGCAGGCATCCTTGTCTCTGGTGATAGAATTTTGCAGGACCCATCTGTGCAGGCTGCTTTCAGAGGGAGGGGATGAGAAGAAGTGAGGTGAACTAATGTGAAACATGTTCCACTATTGTTAGAGATCAAACACTGCAGCAAGAAGTGTTATGGCTAGAGCATCTTCAGCAAGGACACAAACATCCCAGAAATACTGTAATTGGTTCTCTCCAGGCATAAGCACAGCAGGTGAGTGTATCGGCATAACCTTTGTGAAGATCTCCAGGAGAGCAATGGATTGGCCATTTGTCCCAAGAAAATCCTGAGAAAAACGGGGCACTCTTTGGGAATGGCAGAGGACAAAGGAAAAGTCTCAAAGCTCAAGACATACACCTCCCTCTAACTCACTGCTTTTCTTCTCCTTTGGCATACGGAGATTGGAGCAAAATGCCAACTCCCTTTTAGCATTAGCTGCAGTTATATAAGGCCACCAGGGGAAAAGCAGCCAAGAAAGGCAATAGGTCATTTGACCTCTCGCTGACATGAATGCTGCCGATGCAGTAATGCTTTGGACTTCTTGGTCCTGCTGAGGATTTGTTTTACACTCCTCCCCAACTCTTGGAGTTCCTGCTTACTCTCCGCCTCTGCCAGAAAGTACTATTACTCCATGGACATGAGGCCTTGTGTCCCCCTGATGTCCTTCCAACTGTCTCGGCTCCTGCTGCATTCTCCTGCTGCAGACACCACCCAGCCTCTGCTCAGGTTCCATCTCCGTGGATAGGCTGAGGGACCTGAACCAGGAAAGTTGCTTTCAGGCCTTGACTTGGCAAGAGTGTCAGCCCTACCCTCAGCCAGAGAACAGCTGCTACCCAGGGGATGGACTTGGAGTCTCAGCAAATGTTTGAGGTGTTTTTAACTCCCAGGGAGAGAGATCTCATAGAGGTGCCACTCACTCTCTCCAGCACCTCTCTCTCTCTCTCTCTCTCTCTCTCACACACACACACACACACACACACACACCAAATACAAGGTGCTTTTCCCTTGAGCTTTGGGGACTGCTAACAACCTTCCCCCAGAGGATCTTGTAAAGAGAGATGATCTCACAGCTCTACATAAACTCTCTGGTTTCCAAGCCCCCTCCAGCACTGCCCCTCAACCCACAGGAAAACTTGCAAAGGAAAGGGCCCTGGACACAGCCGTTTGGAGAAACTTTCGGCAGTTAAGCTCAACCCCACTCCTCGTCCTGGCTCTGGATTCTGACGTGTGCCAGGTAGGGCTTCTCCATATCCAGGTGCCTCGGACCCTCCCCAGATATTTCTCTGGGCAGGTCTCCTTTCCACGCCGACCTGCCGACCTCCTATTGTTCACCCTAGCAAGAATTTACCTTTTGTTGCCTCCGCGCCATATCGGTGGGCTGCTTGGCATTGAAGGGGTAGGCGATGCACCTCATGACGAAGACGTAAAGCTGCAGCTTCTTCTTCCTCTCTTCTTCCTCCTTCTGCAGCCTTTCCAGCTCTTCCTTCTCCTTCTCGCTCACGACCGAAGGGCTCGGACTGGAAGGCCGGACGCTGCTCCCGCTCCGGCTGCTGGGCTGCAGCCCTCCGCTACTCCCGCCACCGCCGCCCCCAGAGCTCTCGCTGGTCCGGCTAGGAGAGAGCCGAGCTCCCGAGGTTGCCGGGGCCAGCACTTCCTTGCTGCTCTCTTCTTCCACGATCTCATCGGATTCTTCTTCACTGGACGACGGGTCCAGCATGTTGGCCGCAGACTAGTGCCCGCACTCGGCGGGGCGAACGAGACGACTGGGGCAGCGGCACAAAAGCCCGGACGGATTGCTTCTTTCAATGCCTCCCCGGCTCCTCCTGCCTGCTTTGGCAATCGCAGCTGAAAGAGCGAGTGGATCACCAGCCGATCGGGGGTGGGGGTGGGGGGTGGGAAGTGGGGGAAAGGAGCCTTCCCGAAGAGCGGCGGAGGCAGCGGACGGCGGAGAACGCACCGCCGCCGTCTTCCCCAAGCTTACGTGGGTTTATGGCTTTAACTCTTGCCTCCCCAGGCGGGCTCCGCTGCTAGGGAGAGAAGGAGAGCGAGATCAAAGGCTGCTGCCAGCCAGCTTACTCTTCATCCAGGGAGGCCGGTTCGGTCCCTCCAAGCTCTCTCTTTTTCACTCCATCTCTCTCTCTCTCTCTCTCTCTCTCTGTGGGGATACCGGGAGAAGCGAAGGGGCTCTGCCGCGCCTTATCCTTCCCTCCGGCTCCTTTCCTCCTTACAGCAAATTCCTTGCAAGGGGAATAAAGCCGCAGCGCTGAGGAGCTCTCCGAGGTGCTGAAAAGCGAGTCACCAACTGCAGCGGCACCGAGAGCGCTCGGTCGGTGCAGCAGCGGCAGCGGCAGCTGCAGCAGCAACAAGCAGAACGGCTCACCCCTGACTGCGCAAGCTCAGTGCTGCCCTCCTCCTCCTCCCCCTTTTCCTCCCTCTTATCCGCGCGCGGGCGCCGCACATGACTGTTTGCGAAAATGAAGCCCCCACCCTCAAGAGGCATTTGCCCTTACCTCACCGGCTCCCGCCCGCCCCGCCCCGCCCCATCTCGGCGTGGCGTGGCGCGTTTTTTTTGTTTTTTTTACCCCCTTGTCTTACTCTTCCCTTTCTGGCTTAGCCTGGAAAGTCTTAGCAAAGAAATCGGAGGAGAAGGCGGATAAAGGATGGGTCTCTCAATCGGGAGGCTTTTGGGGAGAGGAGCGGGGAGCAGCTCTTGAAATCCTGCAAAAAAGCGGGGAAGGTAAGGGGACGCCTCTCTCTTTCCCTCGGAACGCGAGATCCCCCGCTTAATAGAGTTATTAGATTAAAAAAAAATCCTGCCCTTATTCCTTTATAAGTAACTCAAGGCAGCGAATATACACAATACTCCTTCCTTCTCTTCTTTTTCCCCACAACAACAACCCTGTGAGGTGGGTTCAGCAGAGAGAGAGGGGGGGGAGAGAAAGAGGAAAGGAACGAACGAAAGAAAAAGGAAAGGGAAGGAAGGATGGAAGGAAGGAAAGAAGGAAAGAAAAAGAAAGAAAGGAAGGAAGGAAGGAAGGAAGAAAGAAAGTTGGCTGAAAATATCTTCTGACTTTCATGCCTAACAGTCTCTTGTTCTCTAGCCTTTAATCACTAAATCAAACTGGCCCCTTAAGCTGAATACTGGGAAATTTGGGGTGAATGAAAACTGAAATGTAACAAAACTGAAATTTAGGAGGGGACAAATACTAAGGGGGCACAGAAGGTGGGGGGGTCAGAGTTGCAGCCCATCAAACAGCTTTTTGAAACAACAGTGCACATTAATTTCAAAGAGTTGATTGAAGAGAGAGAAAAACACTCTGGAGAGCAGCTTGCCCGTCTTTGCAACCACCCTCTGATTCTAGCTCGGTTGGCTGAGGCCAAAGACACTGCAGTTTCTGCAGGGGTCAGACTGGGAAGAATTTCACAGCCTCCCACTGGCGATCAGAGACATGAATCCCCCAAGAGGGATATCTTTGCCACTGTGATAATTAGCAGCCTCCTTCACCCTGCAGCTGCCTAATCGCTTGTAAGAATAAACTCAGTGTTACACTTAACTTTTTCTCTAGGGCCTAGGCCAAAAAATCCCCCAACAAGCCAGGGGCAGATTTAAACAGAGAATTGTGAATTCTAAATGATAGGCTTATGAGAACAATATTTGTTTGTTTTTATTTATTTGAACATTTATGTACTGATTTATTTGTATCCCAGTTTTATTATTTTTAAAAATAAATCAAGGTGGCAAACATGGCAGTAGGACTTAGACTTAGATACCGCTTCACAGTGCTTTACAGTGCCCTCTCTAAGCGGTTTTACAGAGTCAGCATATTGCCCCCCCCCCCCAACAATTTGGTTCCTCATTTTACCGACCTTGGAAGGATGGAAGGCTGAGTCAACCCTAAGCCTGTGAAACTCGTAACTGCCAAACTGCAGGCAGCCGGCCGTCAACAGAAGTAGCCTGCAGTACTGCATTCTAACCAATGCCCCACCACGGCTTCAAAAAAACATAGCCAAAACACTTTCTGCCTCCTATTTTTCCCACAGCAGCCACCCTAGGTGGTAGGTGGGCTGAGAGAGAGTAACTGGCCCAAAGTCCCAGCTGGCTTTCATGGCTGAGATGGGACTAGAACTCAGGGTCTCCTGGTTTCAAGCCTAGTGCCTTAACTACTAGACCCATGATGGCAAACCTATGGCACACGTGCCACAGGTGGCACGCAGAGCCATTTGTGCCGGCTTGCGAGCCGCAGGCAAACTTACCTCACTGCGCATGTGCGTGCCTCACAGCTGATTTGAGGCCTTTTTTGGCCTTCCAGAGGCTTGAAAAAAGCCTCTACAGGCCGAATAGGCCCGTTTTGTCACTTCCTGTAATACCAGAAGTGACAAAACTATTCCGCCTGCAGGGGCTTTTTTCAAGCCTCTGGGAGGCCGAAAAAGGCCTCAACCAGCCGAAAATCAGCTGTGAGGTGCAGTGCAGGTAAGGGGAGCGGGGGGATTACGCGCACATGCGCAGGGCAATACGCATTGCCTTCTGGGTGCTGGCACGCGGGCGCACAAGCGCCAGCTCGCACACATTTTTTGGCACAGGAGCCCGAAAAGGTTAGCCACCACTGCACTACACCAACTGGCTGTCATACACTGTCTTCTCTCACATACACCAAGGAGATGTTTGTGATTTCTAAACTCCATGCTTCGAGAGCCATTTCAGATGATACCTGTGTTAAATAACAATAGCAATATCACTTAGAGTTATATACCGCTTTATAGTGCTTTTACAGCCCTCTCTAAGCAGTTTACAAAGTCAGCATTTTGCCCCCAACGATCTGGGTCCTCATTTTACTGACCTCGGAAGCATGGAAGGCTGAGTCAACCTTTAGCTGGTCAGAATTGAGCTCCTAGCTGTGAGTTAGTCCCGCAATACTGCGTTCTAACTACTGTGCCACCACATCTTCAAAATAAAATAAAAATGCTCTAAGTAGAAAAATGAGAATTACATTGCCATAATTACATAATAATGAAATGAAATGGAAGTGACTACCATGACCTGACACAATGCTCCCTGATATAAATAGCTTAAAAAGGCGAAATCAGTGGATGAAGCAAATGTTGTTAGGGTAGAGAAGGTAGAGGTAATTGTTGGGTGATGTCTAGAAACAAGCACAATAGGAAATGCCAATTTAAATTTTAGTTTTATTCTCTTTGGAATCCAAGCTACAGAGATGGAATTCCATCTATTCCATTTATTTTTTTATTAAAAAATTAAATAGTGCTGAGATTGCAACCTGATGCCCACTTAATTGGGATTCAGCTCCACTGCCTACTATTCAAATTATAAACGAATGTCGTATCCCATTGTGCTTTAGGCATATCATGGCGGAGTGTTGAAATTGGTGGTTTAATGATCTATCAATTCTACATGCTTCTCTGCCTATGGTGCCCTTTGTGCTTAATACTAAATTAATTACCAAAGTATTTTAATTACTAAATACTTAACACTAAAATCCCACTGATTTAAATAGGATTTATTTTTGAATGCATCGGTGGAGTTACCACTGTCAAACAGGTTTAATTGGCTTTGGGTTTTTAATGTAACACTTAAATTTTTTTTTTCAGGATCATGAAGAAACCAAATGGGCCCAATGTTGGGCTCCTGAGTGTATGATGGAGCCTTTTTCTTGGTTGTGTTAATGGCTGGGGTTTTTTTTTAATGATTTTTTAAAAATTATTGTAAGCTTCCAGAGTCATGTACTGGTAGGCCTTGATTTAACAAATCATTAGCTTAGTCACCATTCAAAGTTACAATGGCCTTTAAAAAGTGACTTATGATCCTTTTTTACACATTTTTTACACTTATGACCATTGCAGCTTCCTTAGGGTCATGTGATCAAAATTCAGACACTTGGCAACTGACACATATTTATGATGGTTGCAGTGTTCAAAGGTCATATAACAATAGCAATAGCATTTAGACTTATATACCACTCCACAGTGCTTTACTGTTCTCTCTAAGTGGTGTACAGAGTCAGCCTAATCTGGGTCCTCATTTTACCCACCTCGGAAGGGTGGAAGGCTGAGCCTGGTGAGATTTGATCTGCCAAATTTCAGGCAGCCAGCAGGTCAGCAGAAGCAGCCTGCAGTACTGCACTCTAACCACTGCACCACCACAGCTCACAAGCAATTAGCAACCGTGTTACTAACTTCACAACTGCAGTGATTCATTTCACAACCATGGCAAGAAAGATCATCAAATGGGGACAAAATTCATTTAACTGTCTCGCTTAGCGACAGAAATGTTGGGGCTCAATTTTAGGCGTAAACTGAAGAGTACCTGTATTGGAGCGGGATGACTGTATAAAATGAATGAATGAATGAATGAAAGCTAAAATGAGGTTGATGCTTTCATGAATAATAGGAAAGTGCTGTGGTTAGACAAATTCAAAACGTTTTGTCTGCATCATTTCTGAAGTGTGCACAGCAATAGAAGAAAAGGCTTTACTGATGTCAGCAGGAGTCATTCCCTAAAATCATCATCACCTTTTAACAACCACATAATCCCTTGCGGGGTGGAGTCTGGATAACTGAATGGAGCTAGTAGAGTGTTTAATAGCCGGATGTCTTTCCTGTCACCAGTGCCGAGTTTTGTTCAGCAGATATATTCTCATTGTGCCCCAGAGAGAGAAATGTCTGCCTCTAACTAAGATCGAACTCCCAGCCTCCTGATTG